AATTAAAGAGCATTATTGCGATCCCATGTCAATTAAAAATAAAAAGAATTACACCTAGGCTTTTAAATAATTATTATTTAATTATTTAAATCATTTGACATTTAAAATATTACACACAGCTCCTGAGATTTGTACACGTGTAACACTTAAATTTCTATCATTAATGTTCGTTAGTCTACCTATTACAGTAGTAAATTATATTCAGATCCCTTAAAGTTTGAGACATATATTGCAATAGAATATCAAATATTTTAAATTTTACAATCAAAATTCATGTTATATTATATCATTTATTGAAATAAAATCAGAACAATGTTATGCTTACCAACTCATTAACTAATTTTGTATCTCAAATTAGTATGGGTGGTTGCATTAATGAGATCCACTAACTTCACCAAACATTCAACGTAAAAAATTTTGACACATCATTGGGATACAATATTTGGTAAATAAATTTGGGCAGCACAGTTATATTCTAAAATCAAAAAATAAAAATATAATTTTTTCTTTAAAAAAATTATAATTAGTATACAGTTATAATATCTATTGGAATAAAATTAAAAAACCAAACTAAGGGGTCAAACCATAGTGGATACAGTATCTTTTATCTTTAATTGGGGTAGTTTGGTCAATTAATAAATTTTGTTAGTTCTGTAACTAATAAGTGGTTTAAGTGTAATATTTTAAACTTGAAGAGTATAAGTGTTATACACTTACAAACTTTAAAAAGGTCTAAGTGTAATTTATTAACAGATATAATATTGACGGTAAGGATCTAAGTATTATGTGTGTATAAATCTCAAAAGATTTGCATATAATATTTTAAATGTCAAGGGTCTAAATATTTAAAAATAAGATTATATGTGTATTTATAAATTCTTGGACACATTTTCTTACAAGTCAATTTTCAAGGACAATTTCTATCTATGGGTTCATATTAATTTTTAATATTAGAGCTAGCTACTACATTGAGGGTAGATCGAACACAATATGAGTTACGGCTTTCTGAGGTCAAGTCATAGAATAAGCAACATATAGGCTAGATTAAGATAACTTGGTATTATTTATGAGCATAGTGTTATCTCATTAAATATTAACAGGTGAATAGAGTCACCAAAGGAAAATGGCTATCATTGGGTCAATATCGATAAATGTTAGATCCACCAAAGGGAAAGGGCTACCATTGGATCAATGTAGATAAAATAGGCCGGCTGCCGTAGACATCAACTACAAAAACACGATGGAGGGAGGCATCTAATAGCGAATATCAACAAATATTACAAATATGGTGTCACGGGATATATTCACAATATATGAAAGGAAAAATAATAATGCTCGAGATGTGTGTGTATTTTTTATTTGAATTCAGTCTTTTAGTAGGTATGATTGTGGGTATGTATTGCTTCATTATTACAAGGATCTGGATGTGTTGCTTTTATGAAGTCACTCTTTCAATTTTGATGAATGTGGATATGTCTTGCTTCTTTAGACATGGCCAAAAAAAGAACATTGTCAAAAAATAAATTCGGGCTCAAACGAAGGGAATCGGTGTTGGACTAAAGTGTGGGCCATCATCTCTAAAGAAGGATGTTTTTTTTGAACACATGAAGAAGCATGTTAAAAACATCAAATAGATGAAAAGCCCAATGAAGGAAGTTAAATATGATCTCAAGTACAGATGTATTATGATTGTCATTACAAGGGCAGTGGATGAGATTGTGTTAAGAGAGGAACACAAGAGTACTTTGGAAAAGACTCCATTCTCATTATTCTTTGAAAGTGTCATAGAGAATAAAATGGACAAGACATGGTGCAGGTAGACTGATAACAATATCCTTGATATAATTGTGTGTTTTAATGTCAAAACCTTTAAATTTCATATGGGAGGGGAAGAACTCAAATTGCAAACAAGTGATGTCAAAACTATATTTGGAATTCAAGATGGATATGAGTCAATAGATGCAACCAACCATGAGAAGGATAATACATCATTTGCCAAATGTAAGTTCGAGAAAGATACAAGGTTGACTTTGACATTGATAAAAGCCAAACTGAAGCACACAATAGAAAGTATTACTCAGGATGACTATGATTGAGGTTGCAAGACTATTATGTCTATTCTTATTGGTAACTTTTTTCTTATTGAAACTCAAAACCAGGTAGGCTAAAACTCATCAAATTTATCCTAAGTAGTTTTCATATTTATTGGGCAAGCCACATGATCATTCCGGTGCAAGTGCTCGAAAAAATTGAACAAATCATGAGATCTTTTTTATGGAAGGGTCCGGAATTGAGTAAGTTAGGTGCTAAAGTTGCTTGGGTGGAAATTTGTCAACCTAAAGAAGAATGAGGACTTGGAATCAAACAACTCAAGACTTGGAACTTAGCTTTGATGTTCAAACATATATGGAAGGTCTTTAATAACAAAGAGAACCTATGGTCAAAATGGGTACACTCTTACCACTTGAGAGGTAGAAGCTTTTGGAAAATCAAGGCCACAAAGCAAGCTCTTGGAACTGGCAGAATCTATTGAAACTGAGAGAGTCATTTAGGCCACATATGGTTCACATTATTGGCAATGGGGCTCAGACTAGTTTATGGCAAGGCAATTGGCATCCCAGTGGACCCCTCTTGCTCAACTGGAGTCAAAATATTGTGCAGGACTCTAGATTTCTTGAAGAAGCAAAGGTCAGTGATATAGTTGACAAACAACCAATGAAAGTGGCCAAACATTACGTCCCCTGACATTTAGGTTATTGCCAATGCTATGCCAGCTTGTTCTCTTCATCAAGCAAGGGAATATAGAGTTAAATGGAGACTAAATGCAACTGTTATATTCACCTCCAAATCTGCATGGGAATCTCTAAGAAATTGTGGCCCACATGTTTCTTGGGATAAGATTGTGTGGTTTAGATACTCAGAGCCTAAAATGTGTTTCATTTTGTGGCTTGCAATCAAACAAAGATTAGCTACAAAGGATAGATTGGTGGTTTCTGCTGGTCAAATCAACAATAAATGTATATTGTGCAAGGAGTTTGGAGAATCACATGAGTACTTGTTCTTTGAATGCAGATACTCTTAAGAGCTTATGGGATAGAATGTTGATGATTAGTGGGCAACTCTGGCAAGTGAGACCATGGCCTAAACTAATTGAGTGGTGCTCACAAAACTGGAAAGGAAAGACCATGCTTACTATTATTCTTAAGCTGAGTCTTTCCATAACAGTGTACAGTATTTGGCGAGAGAAGAATAAGATGATCTTTACCTACCAATTCATGGATGTTAATTCCTTACTTAGGAGTATGAGGCTAACTATGAGAGATAGACTAGCTTCTACGAAGTTCCAAAACTCTCCTCAAAACCAGCACTTGGCACAAGTTTGGAGCCTTCCAAATGACTGCCTTATTCCAACTTAGATGGCTTCCTGCTGCAAATGGCAAGTTCTCTTTCTCATCAGAATGGCAACAAACTTCTAGCCCATGGGTCCCATGGCACAAACGTTGATGTTCACGTGTTCAACTAGTGGTTACAGGGATGCTCAGTTGTTTATAGTTTCTTTTGCTTAATGTTGGAGTATAGATAGTCTAGGTTTATTAGGATTTCTTTTCCCTTTTTTACCATTACTAAGATTTTTATATTTTGCCTAAACTACAAGGATGTTTAAGTTACTCTGTATTATTTTTGGATATATATACGGGGCTCTACTCTTAATTTGAGTATCCCCTTTTCACTAACAAATATTTNGCCTAAACTACAAGGATGTTTAAGTCACTCTGTATTATTTTTGGATATATATACGGGGCTCTACTCTTAATTTGAGTATCCCCTTTTCACTAACAAATATTTCAAGTTGGTATCAGAGCCAAACCCTAACCTTAACCCNCACTTGGCACATGTGAGATTATCTGGCTACGATCGATTCTTGACGAGTTGGGTTTTTCAGTGACCTCTCCATCCACATTATATTGTGATAATCAATCTGCTATTCAGCTCGCTTCTGACTCTGTACTACATGAGAGAACGAAGCATATAGAGATCGATGTTCACTTTCTTCGGGAGAAGGTCAGCAGTGGTCTTGTTACTCCATCGTTTGTGGGGACCAGTGATCAAGTTGCGGATGTTTTTACCAAACCTGTCACTCTGTCTATTCTTCGGGACTCCGTTGTCAAGCTTGGCTTAGTTGACATTTTTGCGCCTAGCTTGAGGGGGAGTGTTGGAGTATAGATAGTCTAGGTTTATTAGGATTTCTTTTCCCTTTTTTACCCTTACTAAAATTTTTGTATTTTGCCCAAACTACAAGGATGTTTAAGTCACTCTGTATTATTTTTGAATATATATACGAGGCTCTACTCTTAATTTGAGTATCCTTTTTTCACTAACAAATATTTCAAGTCTTACAATAGGTAGTGCATATTGCGTTTTTGTAAAAGCACTTTTCTTTTCTGTAAAACTGTCCTTTTGATCAATAGAATTTTTTACCTTCCGAAAAAACTTTTTTCTTTACACATACTAGAAAATACAATTGTATGGGGCTATGTTCCGTACATCGATGACTTGAATAAGATTAGAAATTATGAATAGTCTCACGCAATTACGAAGCACTAATTTTAAAAAAAAAAAAAAAAAGGGGGATACGCCAACCACGATTCCTAGATGCATACTACTAATACCTGTAAGTAGTTTTTATCTACCTCATTTTTTTTTTTTTTTGAAGTTGAAATCTATGTAGATGTTTTTGTTGTCAAATTATTCTATCACATTATTGTTGTTAATGTTTGTTGTCACATTATCTAATTTTTTTTTCAATGCAACATCATTTTGTTTGTGATTTGTGTTGATTTGTAAGTGTGGCAACATTCTATGACTTCATTGTAACCTCACATTCTATATTCTTTTTTAGGTTTTGAAAAAGCGATTGAAAAAAACAAAAAAAAAAAAAAAGAGAGAGGGAGGATATTAATCAAATCTAGAGGAAGCCATAAACCAGCAAGTCCATTCAGATGTGGTTGTATAGAAAGAAACTGTTGGAAGAAAAAGAAGCATACTACTTGGAGGAATGCAAAGATGAAGGATTTATTGAAAAAGAACAAGAACAAGAGTATGATGAAGGATCCCAGTGTCAAGATGATGACACACTATTTATTGATGATGATGATACAATGGATATGATTGGAGGAATGAGAAACAAAAGCAGTCATTTAAAACTCTTCTTCGTGTTGTGGTTCACGAATCAACACAAAGACATGCAGAGAGTGAGTTTGAGAAGACTGAAGCAAAAGATGGTTGGCAATCAGAATTTGACAGAGAAGACATAATCAACTCACGCTTACCCGCCAGACAAATGACCTGCATGATGGGTGAGGCAGCCCATTAGCCCGAGGGCCATCCGACGCCCCCATCAAACGTTTGGCAAATGCTGACCCTTAAGCTGTTTTACTGTAGAACAGAGTTTGTTATGTTATGTGAGGATCAAGTTTACACCGTTAATGTGCCTTTAATGAGAGTCCTGATTCAGGGCATTAGTACACTATTCTCTTTCATATGTGGAAAGGCACCACAGATGATAACGCCATGTCGTCCAAACAAACACNTTAAGAGGGGTTAAATCTTCTTCTCCGTCTGTTGATCTGCTCTTGATGCAGTAGATTATTTATATTTATTGGATTTCTGGGCACCGTGACTTGATTATTTAGGAGCTTTTTGGACCTTCCTTATTTGTCGCTACTGTTCGACTGAAGGTATATTGTTCTCCCTTATTTTATTCCTCTATTTATCTTAGAGTTATTT